TAACACTACAGCTATTTAGACAAAGAATTCCCGAGACTCCAGTCATTTACTGTCTGATTCAAGCTGGACTTCAGATGAGTAGAGTAGAAGGGACAGTTTTCAAGTAACTGCCTTCTCTTCTTTTTACACCATTGAAAGGAAAAATAGCTTTTCTGCTTTGCAAGGGTGCCTGACAGTCAGAGGAAGATGATGGAGATGATGGGGAGGAACTGGGCTCATGAACCTTCTACTAGCCCTCCTCTTCTGTATTTGGTTTAGGCTGGTGAATTGAAGGGAGTAGTATGAAAGGAGTATAACCTCCACTTGTGACTGACTAAGTCTGGGCTTTACTCTGACTCTATTAATTAAGAAGGGTTAAATTTTTCAGTTTCTAAAACTCAATTATTTGTCATTAGTTTTAGTGTCCTGCATGCAGTTAAAGCCTGCTATTTTCAGATGAGAGAATTTGATGGGGAAAGGAAGATTTAACACTTCTCTATAATTCCTTATGCAGTGAAAGTCATGCATCATGGCTGGGCTTCACTAACGAAGATTTGGGAAGGACTCTACCCACACTTACTACAAGCACGCTGGTGGCTAAAAAGGCCAATATGAGATAGACAAGTCTAGTTGCAAAAGGCACAGCAGAAAGACTCCTTAGGTGGTATCGGCAAGACACAATTCTTTCTGCATTGTCTTTTCTCCTCGAGAGTGATCCTGCGTGCATTCTGAAAAGAAGCAGCAGCGTTATAGATAGTGTGTCTCCAGGCCTCCTGATTGGAGGCCGCAGTGAAAGTAGTGACAGGTATAAAACACTTGAAAACCTATGCATCTCCAAAATTAGCTCAAGTTGTTTTCTTTCATGCAAAGAACATTACTCCAAAAATGCCAAAGAGAAAAAAATATATATACCAGTGCGTACGTTCCTAACTCAAATACACAGAACCCGAGGAAATGGCTTGAAGTTGTGTCAGGAGAGGGTTAGGTTGGATATTAGAAAGAGGTTCTTCACCCAGAGGGTGGCTGGGGGCTGGAACAGACTCCCTGGGTAACAGCACCAATCCTGACAGAATTCAATAAGTGTTTGGACGGTCCTCTTGGGCACATGGTGTTTCTTGGGGATGGTCCTCTGCGGGGCTAAGGCTTGGAGTTGATTCTATGATTCTTTGATTCTGTGATTCTGTGATAATGTAATTTGAAGGTAATTTTATTTTTTTATTTCATTAATGGATATGACTTGTTTAATAGACCTTCCTTTTTTCTTTGTTTTGACCTTTTGACCTTACCCATCCTTTTACAGAGTTAATAGACAAGGCTGACAGAAATATGGATGCTGAGTTCAAAGCAGGTGTTTGACAAACAAACACCTACAGAAGGAATTGCATTCTAGATTTTTTCTACATTTGTTTTAAATTTAAAAAGCTTATTTTGCATCTCTTAAAAGTGCGGGATTGCCCACCACTGAAACCTGTTCAGTAGTACAGGTAGCAGAAGTGAAAGTTTACTTACATCAATTTTTTGCATGGATTTTAATCTTTCTTAGGATGATTCACCTCTGAAAATAGAAGTGTATCCTCTACACCCGTTCAGTACTCAAATCATCTCTTCAAAGTAACAAATTGACTAGGTATTCTGAAAAATGCACTGATAACCATATTTCCTGTTGATTATGGAGCATCCACTAACAGTGTCATGACTTTAGTCAACTAAATAAGATAGCTGTGATTTAACACTAAATTTATCTGTAACCATACTTATATACTTAATGAATCCAAAAGTAATGTTTCATGTGATTGAAATGGATAATTTTTGAACTATTCTTACAGTTTCTGATTCTCAGAGGCAACTGAAGAAGGTACAGTACAACTCATTTACAGGAAAGATTTAAAGTATCATTAATTTAATCTGATGGGCTTTTTTATATTGGACAGGAAGCTAAACACTTCTAAACACTTCTCTGTATTATATCTGTTATGAATTGAGATGGTGCAAAGAAGGCCCATAATTTTTGCTCAGTCATTTACACATGCCAAGTACAGGACTTGCAGAAAGTTGTAGAAGTGATAATGTGAGTATAGTGTCTTTTATCTGGAATTAAATATGCTGATATTTGTCAAAATTGGAGAGGAAAAAAAATCCAGAAATACTGAATACAGTAGTTCTAAGAGTAGAAGTGATTAAGTGCATAGGATAGAAATGCATGAGGAATTATTTAATTTTTTTTAAGACTGTCCACAGCACACTATATTCTTCAAATTTCTTGGTAATGAAGCTACCAGCAGAAGTAATCCTCAGTATGCTTTCAGCATCCTGAGGTTTTCCAGAACACATCAATCTCCTAAGAATTAATATTATTCAACTTTTCTTATGAAGTTGTGTTTAAGATGAAATAAGGGAAGCCATGTCCAAAGAATCAAAGATCAATATAGCAAATGTGAAGATCTTTAATACTATAATAAAAATCCTAAAAAGATCTGCTTTTCCGTTTAAAAAAGCTAAGCAATGAATGTAGTAAAGTCAACTGTGGTGTTTACTTAAGGTTGTGCACATTTTTTATGATTTTTTTCTCAAAAAAATGTTAAAGTATTCAAATATCATCAAAAAATATACTGACTTGGATTTATACAGTGTGAGACAAACAGAATATAGTCAATGCTTCAAAATTAATTATGCTTTATAACAATTCACAAAATAATTTACCCCTTGTCACTGAAATACTTAACATTTAATCTAGGAGGAGACTGGATCTGCCATTAGTACCAAAAATATTGCACATGGTACAAGGACTGTTAACTGCAATCTTCCTTTATTATCTATATGTTTTAAGATTTTTGATCATTTTCACTCTATGTAAGAGTGGCACATGTTGCATGGCCTTGCACAGTAAATGATTTTGAAATTTGAAGTCAGATGCTATGCTGAAACATACTGAGGTGGTTTTTCTGACTTTGACACCTAATCCGATGTATAAAAAAGTGATCCCTTGAGAAAATATTACACACCATACATTTTATTTTTCTGATTAGGAAAATTTTTACAACAGGATGTAACAGCTGCAGTGTTGGATTGGGCTGCTCTAGAAACTGAGATGATGTTCCACAGGTAGCGTTTTAATTCAATTACATCCATGCTAATTTACACCAGATGCAGTCTGACCCACCTAGAATTTAAGATCATTTAGCATCCTGCATTAGAAAGTAACACAAAGCTACTTGTGATTTTAATGTGAAGAGACAGTTTGGTAAATCCAGACCAGAATTAACCACTTTGAATCAACCTCAGTCGTAGCAGCAGGCTGAACATTGAGGGTTGCACTGTATGAATGAGACACACTAATACAAGCAAATGGCATGAAACAGCAGAGATGCTTTGCTCTGATTAAGCCTCTCAAGACTCTATTCAGCAATCAGAGGGCTTGAAGCATATAGGGGACAGGATATTCTTTACAATGTGTTTTGAAGTGGAGCATTAAAGGTTCTTTCCCCAAACTGCAGCCATGTCTTTCCCCATATAGTAACCACCATAGCCTTTTCTCAGTATACTGGAAACCCTGAGGACTGGACAACATTTCTCTGTTTGTAGAAAGTTTAGAAGATTGCAGAGCAACCTCCAAGGGCTTGGAGATGTAAGATGGTTATCACGCTGCTCATGTATACTACACGATCTCACCAGTCTTAAAATTAATTCCTGTGAATACCTTAAAGCTACTGTTTTTGAAAGCTTTTCTAATGTGTTTTCTACTCATATTTTCAGAAGGAGATTTTGATAGTGGACATCTTGGTTTTGTGTCATGTAATTGAAATATTTTACTTTTCAAAGTTCACAGTATCTGCAAAATCAAGCTGTGGCTGCCAGTGACTTTTACAATCAGGTCTAAGCAGGGACAAATTGGATGTTCAGAATCCATGCGAGCATTTGGTCCTCAGTATATGAACATAGTAGAGAACATTTTGTCAAGACTCTTAGCTTCTGTGTTAATTCTTCCATCCAATTTCAAAACAATACAATACCAACGGTGTTAGCACTCCTCCTTTGCGATTTTTTTTCCCCTTGTCCAATTGGAAAACAGATAACTTGATTTATGAGAAATCATGGAAAAGATTATGGAATGACAATTTGTGACACTCAAAATTAATCTACTAGTTTCCTCCACCAACTTGTAACCATGCTTTGTCGAATATTATTTTAAAAAGTTAAAATCAAACCACTAAAACTTCTGCTACAGTTTAACACTGAAGCCATCTCTTAACCCCAATTTATCTCTATTACTCTCCCCTAATCACACACAGTAATTTGCATGTGTGTCTGTATCTAACCTTTCTTCCATGAAGAGTACAAGGTTGAAATCTTGACCCCACTGAAGCCTAGTTCTGTGTCATCTTGAGACTAGGACCTCTGAGAAGCATGTCAACAATATATTCTGATACAATGAACTAAGAGAAGAATAAGAAGAAAGATGAGATAACAATGACAGCATTTTCAAAGTCAGGTTTATTTAATAGTTTATTTGCAGCAAGAAAATTACTGCATTTTCTTTCTAAAAGTTTTGTAGAAAGACCATTAAGATACTGTAGATAATGTTGCAATACATTTGATAATTTAGCCTCTCTGCTATGCTTATTTGCTTGTTGACTAGAAGTCTAAAAGAGCAGAAAGTTTATGAGGTAAGAAACCAGTAGGCACATTATATTCTGTAATATCACACCAGATGAATACTGTTTTTTTGAATAGCTCACTAAACAGTGAGGGTCACAATTGCTTATCCTAGTCAATACTGATCATTGCATACAAAGAAAAAAAAAAGACCAAAACTGAAGAATATTGCTGGCTTCTGAACTTGTGGGGAGGTGAAAATTATTATTTTCAATTAATCGATAGAATATGAATTTAGTGAACTCTTCAGACCATTTACTGTCTTGATGTTCCTCAGAAAGCATTACAATAATTCCACAGTGTGATTTGTGTATTATGCTGTTGAGATTCTTCATTTCAATACTGCTAATATACTCAAAATTACTCCAGAAAGTGGGCCTGGAGATGCGCGCGGAGCAGCCCCAGGCCTGTAAGTGTGTGACGCGGCTGGCCCTGGGTGAGGAAAGGAGAGGGGGAGCCTCACTGGCGTGGACTGCGCCCTTGTGGGAGATGAGAGGGGAAGCCTCGGAGCACACAGAGGTTTGCAGGTCCGGTCTGGGGGAGGGAAGAGGTGTTGGATGGGCCGTGAGGGTCCTCGGACAGGCGGGAGGGCGGGTGGGGCAGCCCTGTATGAAGTGTCACAGGTGAGCAGTACATGGGAAGATATGAGGTAACACAGTGTGGGGGGGATAAGGTCAGGATGGATAGTAGGTTCTTCTGGAAAGTTAGGGGCTGGGGCCTTGAGAGGTACCTGAGCCCTGGGTGGGTATGGGGGCCAGAATGGTTTGGTTTTGGCTCACCTGCGGCTACTGCCCAGGTTTGGTATGTTCTGGATATATTTGTTCCGTCCTGAAAGGGTGGTCAGGACAAAGGGATGTTCCTGAGTATTTCCCTGGGATTGAATATTGATGGGTGGTAGAAAAGAAGGGAGTGAAAGGCTTGCCCTAACCATCTTAATGGGAAAGGAGCCTATGTACCCCTTTGTGGTTGCGAGCTGTGCTGGCAATGGTACATGCCTTGGTAGGGTCACCCATGCCAGACAGGTCAAAACCGTAGGGTCAGATACAATACAACCCTGGGCAGGATGAGCTTGTTAGCCTTCTGGCAGTCATCCTAGGAGACGGACAACTCTAATTCCAAACCCGGGTAGATGGAGCTCGCTTAGCCCTGTAAGGTCATCCATCTAAGAGGTCACTCTAATCAAACCTACATCCTGAGGACCTCACTGCCACCATCCAAGCTCGCTCGGCCCTGGTAGATGAACCTTAGGATTAAAGGGTGGGTCCAGTTCTGCACATACTGCGTCTCACCTAAAAAATCCACTGTGCAGGCTCAAAGGCTTTACCCACATTTGCAAAGCCCTGTAGCGATGGGCGAGGGTTGAAATGGCAGGTGAAAGGTGCACTGGAAGCTGCAGACCCAACCCTGCATGCAGGCGGTTCAGGATATTGGTTGTCAGTGACTGACCGGAGATGAGTCTCTTAGGAGCAGCATCCTGAATGATCAAGCAGCCTTTTTCAAGGAGACCACTGTTTGCTCCACTCGGACAGGGGCCTAGAAAAGGTGGCCTAACCAAAGCTCATCTTCCCCTTCACCTGGTTGGTTAACCGCAGACAATGGGCATCTTCTACTAATGCAGTCACACAAAGATCAAAAGACAAAGGCATACACCTGCCTCCAAAGGTGTACCCAAATTGACTCTTACATGCTGGAACATCAGAACCATGCTTGATATCGCAGATAGTGGACGTCCTGAGTGTTGCTCTGCCCTAATTGCCCATGAACTATCACGTCTTAACATTGACATAGCTTCTCTCAGTGAAGTTCATCTCCACAAGGAAGGTAGCCTTAGAGAACATGGTGCCGGTTGCACACTCTTTTGGTCAGGTAAACCCAGAACCAAAAGGCATCTCTCAGGAGTTGGCTTCGTGATTAAAAACGCCATTGTTCCTAAACTCGAAAATCTGCCAAGAGGTCATTCTGATCGCATTATCTCCCTATGCCTTCCACTACACAACAAGTAACATGTTGTCCTCTTTAGTATATATGCCCCAACTCTCCAAGCTGACCCTGCCAAAAAAGACAAATTTTACACAGACCTGCACCGCCTTACCCAAAAGGTCCCTGCAGATGATAAGATCATTATCCTTGGTGATTTCAACACCAGAGTAGGAAAGAACTTTGAAGTCTGGAAAGGAGGATTAGGCAAGCATGGTATTGGAAACTGCAACGATAATGGTCGACTTCTGCTAGAATTTTGTGCAGAGCAACAGCTCACCATCACTAATACTATCTCTCAGTATAAAAATAGTCTGAAGACAACCTGGATGCATCCTAGATCTAAGCATTGGCACCTCATTGATTATGTCTTGGTGCGCCACCATACCCGCATGATGCCTAGTGCAGAATGCCAAACAGACCATCAACTTGTGCACTGTAAACTTAACTTCAATCTTAAGTTCAAACCTAAAAAGGGCAGTATCCCAAGGAGGAGACTCCGAGTTAACAATCTCCAATCAGCCACAGTGAGAGACAGATTCCAGGCAAATCTTCAAACTAGGCTTGAAAATCATTCCACAGATTCTGTAGATGCCTCTCCTGAAACGCTTTGGCACCATATTAAAAACAGCATCCAGCAGTCCTCTGAAGAATCCTTAGGGTTCTCTTTCAAGAAGAACAAGGACTGGTTTGATGAAAACCATCAAGAGATCAAGGAATTGTTGAGGAAGAAGAGAACTGATCACCAAGTACACCTTGCACTGCCATCCTGTCACATAAAAGCAGTTCCAACAGAAACTCCATGACATCCAGAACAGTAGTGGATCAATCTAGCTGAAAAAACTCAATTATGTGCAGGTACGGGTGATTACAGAGGATTCTATGAGGCCTTGAAAACAGTATAAGGGTCTACATACCAGGTCCAAAGCCCTCTACTCAGCACAGATGGTCAAAAGCTTCTGACAGCTAAAACCTCCATTCTGAATCGATGGTCTGAACACTTTCAGACTTTTCAATACCAACTGTGTAGTCCAAGACTCAGCAATTCAGTCCATCTTACAACAACCAGTGAAGTATGAATTGCATACTGCCCCCACTTTGGGAGAAACCCTTAAGGCCATACAGCAGGTGAAAACTGGCAAGGCAGCGGGGGTTGATGGAATTCCACCTGAAGTCTGGAAACATGGGGGCCAAGCATTCCATGCTAAATTTCACGAGTTTGTGGTGTGCCGTTGAGAACTAGGCAAACTACCGTCAGACTTTTGTGATGCTGTCATCATCACCTTGTATAAGAAGAAGGGAGATAAATCTGACTACTCAAACTACCGGGGTATTACTCTCCATTGCTGGCAAAATCCTGGCAAGAATACTTTTGAACAGACTAATACCTGCTATAGCAGAAGAACTTTTTCCTGAAAGCCAGTGTGATATCAGAGCCAATAGGCATGATATTTGTTCGCAGACAACTGCAAGAGAATTGTAGGGAACAGAACAAAGGTCTTTATGCAACCTTTGTTGATCTCACCAAGGCTTTCGATACTGTGAGCAGAAAAGGTCTGTGGCAGATTTTGGAACGTTTAGGTTGTCCCCCCACGTTCCTTAAAATGATCATCTTATTTCATGAGGATCAGTGCAGCCAAGTCCAATATGGTGATGGACTTTCTAAGCCCTTTCTAATAACTAATGGTGTGAAACAAGGCTGTGTTCTTGCACCAATTCTATTCACAATCTTTTTCAGCATGACGCTCCAAAGGGCCACAGTAGACCTTGATGATCAGGATGGTATCTACATTCGATACCGTACTGATGGAAGCCTATTCAACCTGAGGTGACTGAAGGCCCACACTAAGACGTTAAACCATCTTGTCCGGGAGCTGCTTTATGCTGATGATGCCGCCCTTGTCACCCACACAGAAGCAGCTCTGCAGCGTTTAATATCCTGCTTTGCAGAGGCTGCTGAGTTCTTTGGGTTGGAAGTCAGCTTGAAGAAGACAGAAATTCTCTATCAACCTGCACCTCAGGAAGTCTTCCATCATCTTCATATCATCATTGGTAAATCAGTCCAACAGTTTAATTACCTAGGTAGCCTCATCTCCTCGGATGGTAAGATTGACGAAGAGACAGACAACAGGTTAGCAAAGGTATATAGTGCCTTCGGAAAGCTTCATAAAAGAGTTTGGTGAAATAAAAACACTTGAAGAAAAGTACCAAGATCAGTGTTTACAGAGCCATAGTGCTGTCTACTCTTTTATATGGATCTGAATCACGGGTCATCTACCGCCACCACCTGCAGCTCCTAGAATGCTTCCATCAACGTTGCCTCTGTACAATCCTAAACTTCCACTGGTCAGATTATGTGACCAATACATCTGTTCTAGAACAAGCAGCAGTCACAAGTATTGAGGCCATGTTACTGAGAACACAGCTGCGCTGGGCAGGGCACGTCTCAAGGATGAAGGACCACCGCCTCCCTAAGATCTTGCTTTATGGTGAACTTGCCACTGGCTACCGCAAGAGTGGAGCCCCGAAGAGAAGATACAAGGACTCTCTGAAACAACATCTCACCCTTGGCCATATTGATCAACATAACTGGTCTACTCTGGCCTCCAGTCGGGAGGTCTGGAGACACACTATCTGTAGCGCTGCTGCTTCCTTTGAGAACACACGCAGGATCACTCTAGAGGAGAAAAGACAATGCAGAATATCTTGCAGAATATACCACCTAAGGAGTCTTTCTGTTGTGCCTTTTGTAACCAGACTTGTGTATCTCGTATTGGCCTTTTTAGACACCAGCGCGCTTGTAACAAATGTGGGTAGAGCCCTCCTCAAATCTTCATTCGCGAAGCCCAGCCATGACTCCAAAATGTGTCATAAGAAGAAAAAAATTATTAATATGGAGTCAACATAATTGAAAAACCAGTAATTTGAAATAAACAAAATTTCACAAGAAACATGGATGTAAGATAGGGTTGAATCTTAGGGTCAATTTATGTTTAAATTAGAATGAAATCACCATTAAAATAATTTACAGGATATGTCTGGGCATTGAAACTGGATTGTATAAGAAAATTGTTCTCCATTTCTTGGATTCAGCATGAATATCATTGCTGTTCCTAAACAATTTCTGAAGATTGCCTTTTGTATTGTAATGGAATTGTTGTTCAAATATGGCTTACTACGTAAAATTAGAGCTGTTATATTGTCCATTATGGTTTTTTGCTAACCTATAAGGAGTTTATGATGTCTCTACAAGTCATAGAAGATTCTGCCCTCTGGTACCCCATGGACTGTTCTACTACTGCTGTACTTCATGAAGACTGACTCCAAGAATAAATGCAGCTTCTGCAACTGAAAGGATAAAAAAGAAAAATAATAATAAAAATTGTGTGCCCATCATACCTGCCTCTTAAATTTAATAAGAAATCAATATCACAGACTTCTTGTAAATTTTTTTTAAAGTCTAGATTTTTACTATGCTAAGTGTTATTTGGGGGTGGCCCAAAAGGACATTCACAAATATATAATTTGTACATACACAGACTAAAACTACTAAAAGGCATGCAAAACTTCATTTTCTAAAAGAAATCCCAGGGATGAAAGAACAGAGATCTTACAATAATTATACCTATTTCTTTTCAGGAATGGAGATTTGTTCTTATCCTTATCAGTAAAAAAACCCCAAACCTCCACAACAACCCACCAAAAAAACTTGTTTTTCATCTATGTCTATTCTTATAGAAGAAGACATCAGCTGAAAAAAAACTAAAAAACCCAAATACTAAGCTACTTAAAGAGTAAAAGAAAATCGGAGTATTCAGCAATGTCTGAACTGTTCTTTAAATCTATTATTATTCAATATGATGAAGTATTTTATCAGAATCTACATAAACCGAACATGATGGATCCTGCTTGTCAGATTGAATTATTAAACTTTTAGCAGATGGGAAAAAGGAACACTGTTGAATATTTCCACGTTTTCTGCTTGTGATCAAAACCAGTATGTTTTGTGTATTTAAAATTAACATTACAAGAAAAGGAGTTCATCTATACAGATTTGTTTGTTGGTATGTAACTGGAAAAAAATATCATTTAAAATGACACTTTAGTCTTGAATTACAGCTATTTTGTTGTGACTACTATGCAATCTTACTCTGTTTATCAGTGTAAAATGTTTTTATAGCTTATCAAAAATCATATTTTCCTTTTTCTGGTTCATTTATCAACAGAAATAGGAGATAAGCAAAACTAAAATCAAAATCTATGTCCACTGGTTCAATGCTAGAAAATTGGACTTTCTTTCTATAGGAAGAAATCACCTGCATATACTACTATTTTAGATGAATTGCAGTTTATGCATTATCCATACATAAAAAGAAGGAACAGTATCCTTGCACAAAAAGAAGGAACCTCCAGGGGTACCTAATCAAGCCAAAATATCCTATGAGGAACTATATTACAACACATGAGTATCACATGTTCAACAGCTAGCAGTTTTGGAATGATGGGAACATTGGAAACAACTGAAGATAGGAGTTCCAATATGTTTTTGTTAATCAATACATCATCACATTTGAAGCTTTATACTAATCTCTTTAAATTTCTTGTAGAACAACAAAATACGTATATAATCATTTTTGTCTGTAACAACAAGAAGCAACAGTATGTTTAAGCTCCTAGTCATCCAGACAGACCCAGTCAATAAAAAGTCCTCATTTTATGAGGAGTGGAAATAAAAGGACTTAATGCTAAGTGAGGGTTCTCTTGGAAGACCGTATTAAACCAAACTGTGCTTTTTAATGCAACTTGGAAAGCTGTCTCCTGAAGTTCTTCTGCTTTGTCTTTGTGAATGCAGTTACACGACTTTGCAAAAAACTCAAACAAAACTAAACCTGAAGAAAAAAACATTTAACTCCTCCTGCCCTCCTCCCCTCCAATTTTACTATGGTCCTCTAAATAGCCCAGAAGAGATAAATCAAAGCCTGAACAGTAACCTTACACTTACATACTTGCTAAATGACTTTTTTACAGTCTGTTATTGCTAGAAATTGGATTGCTTTTAAACTAATGTTGTCTGGCGGGCAGAAGTGAGTGAAATCACAAAGCCTGGAGGAACACTAATTACTTGTTTTAATTAGCAGCAACTTTCACTAGAGTATAATCTCCCTACAGGCCACTTTTCAGTAGGTGTGGAAAATTAAAAAAAATTGAGATGTAGAAACAAACCAATAATCTCTAATTTACCCCTAAATGAGAGCTGTGCTCTTATTCCAGCCTAGGCATAGGCTTTAGTGGGAGCTGCTCACCCCAAGAGGAGTGGTGCCTGCAGCACTGGCTGTTCCACTTGGAGACCTTTGGCAATCAGCCGCACAAAGTGGCCCCTTATTTTATGCTGCTACATCATAAAACTGCTCCTTTTGTTCCATTTCCTCCCTTTAAACGGCCTTAATCCTTTTCTTTTCAGGCTGGCCCTGTGGTGAATTCCTCAGGGACATCTCACTTGCCACAAGGATTGCAGTGGCCCACTTGGAGAAGCTTTCAGTTGTTTTCCAATTCTTTGGTTTCTTATTTTCTACATTAAATCACACTTTTCATTCCCATCAACATAGAGGAACTCCCTTAATGATAACAGAGAGACAGAAATTCCTCCACTCCTGCCTATGACACCATTTTGCTGCTGAGAGGCATCTCACCAGTATGGAAATCAAACATGGCTTCCAGCAGGTGGACAGTGCGGAAGGTCACGGGCTCAGAAGCAGGGAGACTATGGAGAACTTGGCTTTCCACAGCAAATTAAGTCATCCATGAGACCTTTTTCATTTACTGGGAACTGGATTTATGGATGCTTTTAAGGCCTGAAAGAGCTTGAATACAGATGTTCCTTGTGGAGGGTACCTGGGCTTGTGTGGTTACATGACCAACCCAGATGATTATTGTGGAGGGTACATGGGTTTGTGTGGCTGAATGATCAACACAGATGATTACTATTTTTGTTAATAACAGGTGACACAAATTTCTTATTGCTTAAGAAAGGGCTAGGAAAAATACTAATATCTTTGTTAAACATTTTATGCAATCATAAGAATATGCTAAAGCCCATTGCAGATGTAAATATATGTTGGATTATAGAAGATATATCCATATATATCCTGGATATATATAAAAATGAAATGATCCTTTCAGTTTAATAAATTTTGAAAAATAATTTGTCTTTTAAGAAGAAAAAAGTGAATGTTCCCATTATTTGCATTAGTTTACATCAAGCAAACCAAGCTTCTTGAAACAATATGACTTCTGCAGGGCATGAATTTGGGTTTTACCCGACTGTAGAGCTATGCCAACTTTTGCTCCTTGTCTGGTGAGAATACCTTTGACTTTTTGATCTATCATTTTTTTCTGTCTCTGTGCTAACCCTTTTTAACAGGAATTTGAGAAGGGCAATGTAGAAAAATGTTATCCAATGATGAACACATTTTTATGTTATGTGTACACATATATGTACACATACATGCATGCTTCAGGACATCATAAAAATCAGTCTATGCTGACATGTGACTATTGGCGTAGTATAGATAACACAGGAAGACTATGCTCCCAGAAATGCAGTGACAGCTGCCACCTCCTGATCAAAGTATTCATATTTTGGCCTTAATGAATCTGAATGTAATGATACAAGAAAAAAAAAAAAAGAAAATAAAAAGGAAGACTTTTTAACCACTGCTTTTTATTTGTTTTGTATTCTGTCTTATAAAGTTGCAAGTCTGTATTTTAATATCTCTATGTGAAAATGTTTTGCAGCTTTATCCTTTTGTTACATTTTGTCATGTAAAGGTAGAGTTGCCACATCTTGTAATATATTCCAAAACATGTTTTATGATGGATTTCAGATATGAAAGTGAGTAACTGCTTTTGTAAAAAAAAAAACCCACCAAAAAAACCAATCAAGCAAAAAATCTCCAAACAAAACCCACAGCCCCTCCCAAACCAACCAACCAAAACAAAACAAGACAAACAAAAAACAAAAATAAAAACAAACAAAGAAAAAACCCCACAAAAATACCCCCCCAGACAAAAAGCTCCACACCTAGAAGCAAAAATCCCAACAAGCTCAAGAGAAAATAAAAATCTCAAGGGCAAAAAATTGAAAGCGCCAAGGAAAAGCTTCGGACATTATCACACAGTGGATTCTCATTTGTGCCATCTTTGCCTAAGAAGGAAAAGCGTCATTCCTCTAATAAATAACCTTTTTACCATCTGAGGGAAAATAGGGAGGAATACAAGTTGAAAGATATTCATTGAGCACATTAAAGCAGCACTCTTGTCACCATGCATCAATACTACCAACCTGCATCCTCAGTAAGAGGTGAAAGACAGTTTTGGGTAATAAGGAGAGAAGAACTGTAAAGTCTATAGCATGACAACAATAATAATAACAACAACAATAACAATAAAAATTTGATTTTTTTGGCCACACTCCTCAGGACGCTGGATTTTGTCACAGTTTTACCACGATAGGCATGTGCTGGATTTCATTTTCTCTGCCTCTTTAAACTGTCTGCAACGAGCTGGTTGCCTGGAAGACAGAGACTGAGAAAAGGAGAGATTTGAATGAAAAAAGTAAACATTACCAACAAAGACTATAATTGAAAGAGGTTTCGTGAACAAGGGGTGTTGTCGGAAAGCAGAATAGGCGAGGGTGGGGCTGCCAGGGGCTCTTTGTCTCTGTGCACACTGGAGCTGCCTGTTGTGCTGCATTGTACTAGGCAGGACTTTACCATCTCACAAGCAGGCTAGTAGCTACCTGCACAAACAAATGGAACTATAAAGCTTAAATATTTATAGCTGTTTCTGATTCTATTTTAATAATTAGTGGCCACCTCTACTTTCACGGCCTAGTTTTGTCGTTTTGTTTCTCTCTCTATTTTTTTTTAATGGATTGTACTAATTGTTCGTTAGGGTGCCGAACACCACCACTTCTGAAGCTGTTCTGTGGATGCTCTGCCACCCAGAAGTGACTGAGGAAAAATGGCTTTACAACAGTTATTTGTTGTATTTTCAATCCAACAATAATTTAGAACCACAATTTCAGATTCCTTACTTGGATGGTTAGAAATATATTCCGAGGGGCTTTTTTGTGTTTAGGTTTCCTGAAAAAGGGATCTTTATCATAAAATTGGTGTCACTTGATGTGCACAAAACAGAAAGAGGGAAAATACAAATGGAAAAGAGAAGAAAATGAGGCTTTAGAGGGTAGATGATTACTGTTAGCTAGTTCCTTGCCTGTGTTTGAAGCAGTTTGTTCTAAGAAGCACATAGCATGTAACCGTCATATCACTAAAAATGTTAAGGCTTGGAAATAATATCAGGAATAACTTTCATTACAAATCTTTTAATCTATTCTACAAACCTACAGAGATTTTAATAGAGCACACACCTGTGAATTCTCCTTACTTCTATAACCTTTTGCTGCTTCTTTTAAGAACTTATATTTAAACTATAGCATGTGTATCAATACAAAAAGTTAAGCCAATGAAAAGTTAGTGTAATAGTTAAAGCAAATCATGCACTAAAAAATTGCTCTGAAAAACCTTGCTTTACATTTTAAAACTGTTTACCAGCATGGACTCCCTTGTCACAATGTTTACTTTTGCTGAGGTATAGTTTCCTGACTTTCTTATTACTGTGGTGAAGGCAATGACAGCAATTTTGTTAATACATGTTCTTTTTCATTAAAATGTCCTCACAGCTCTCAGGGAAATCTCGCAGCTCAAAATCAGCCTTTAAGAAAATAGGAGACTACTTAAAAGAATGAAGGGAAGTTTTCAGTACACGGAAGGCTTCACTTTTAGACATTTCATTTTATTTGTGTTTTTTAAGGGTAGAAAGATCCCAAGTGTCTTCATTGGATTTGAATAAGTCAGTAAATCCTCTCTACACAGCAGCTACACCTCAAGAAGTGTCGTGATAACTACCCTGCAAGATCAGCATACAGTTCTATGGTTGTATGCAAAATTTTTCGGTGTGGAGCACAGAGAGAGACAGATTTGCTGTTAAACACTTTCTTCTCTGTGATGCAATGTGCTTGCATTGTCATACGTTTGAAGGGTCAGTCTCTGAAGCATCCTACAAACTGATAAGTGCTTGATATGTGTGGAATGGCATTTGTAACATGAGTGAGGAAAGTGCTTTGTTTCATAAGTTTCATAGAAAAGTGCTAATAACCACTTCCTATACTTCTACATAAAGATTTCACATCTACATCTAGTAATGTCTTTGCTTCACCTGAGATAGTTTCCAGGAAAATAAAATGATTACTTGACCTGCATTCCAGAATAATGAATTTAAATATAATATTAATAATATAAATATAAACATAAATATAAATATTGCTCACTTACTACTTATCAATGTTGGAAACCTTCAGAACTATTCTTAGTTCTAAGTTTCTCTTGACCTTTTCCACCATTCTCAAAATTACTAAATAAGAACTGCAAGAAACATAACAGACAACAAATGATAAGCAAAAGAAGATACTACATACATGTAAATTATTAGACATTGACATAGGCTTTACAACATATTATGTAAAAATGTGTCATTTTACTAGTTATCTTTTGGAATATTCAAGAAATATTCAGTTCTAAATGGAAGAGTAACATAAAAGAAGGGTTTACCAAATTTTGCTTCATAAAATATGTTCATATTATGCCAAATTGGATGTCCTTCTAAAAGTTATGTAAAGCTATAGGCAGAAGAATTTACCATGTGAAAGTTATAGTCTCTGCTATGTCTGAAATTAGAAAGCGTATTGATAAGGCTCTATCATGTACTTAAAATCTACAATGGCCTTGTACCTTTTTGATAGTGCTTGAATTATTACCTGCTGCATTAATTTCAAGATTTTCTTGAATATTGCTTATATTTCCTCAAACAACAGTAAAATAATCATTCTTCTCATAAAGGTTTGTACCATTTATGATATCTTTCTCTTAGCTGCTTAAGTTTCTTTCTTGTTACTATCAGGACCCTCAAAAATCCAGAGACCAGCAATAACTAAAGTATTTGAGAGGGAGCTGGATCCAATACTTACCAATCACTGGGACAGGCTTTAATTATAAAATGTTTAAATAAAGTTAGCTGCTGATCAAGTCTGTCGTAATGACTGATAGGAATTGTAGTTCACACACTCACAGACAGCTATTGGGGTCATTAGGACTCTGGAGGCTACTACCTTGCAAGAGCATAAAATAGAATTCAGGTTGTGAAACATAATATCCTTCAGGTTTGCACCTCTCTAATCTGAAGCTTTTGAGAATTAAAAATTGCATATTTCATTTATGGTGGCCCTGGAGAAATGATAGCCTCAGAGTCTCTCAATGACTTTCAGGCAGTATACGTACCTTACATACTTGATTTTTCATTCTGGAAGGGGAAACAAGAAGGTACAACTAACTGTGAGGTTCACAAGCTGGTAGCTGGCAGCTCTTTATTCAAAATTTGGAAAAATTGAGGGTGCCAAGAACCACAGATTCTACCCTTCACACTCTAAACACCGAGAGAACCTTCATTACTGTGCGAAAACCCTTCTCACTGTGAACAAGCATGAAACACACATAAAGAACATATTTCTGGGGACATGAGGTCCTGAGCTCAGAGGAGGAATAAACCTTTCCACTGCACGTAGCAAAGAGTAGACAAATTGCCCTATTAGCAGTGGAACAAATTGAGCAGTTTGAGGAGTTTGATGAATTTGATAGGTTGTTCTACCACAGTAATTGCCCTGCTACTATTCCCACACTGAGATTATGACCTCAGCAGCTAATTCTCACCTACCACCTCACAGTTTGTCAACTTCGTGGGTTCTGTGCAAGGAAGTGCTGATCTTGCATGTGCAGTCTGATAGAACTGGTAACTGAGAGTCTTGTACTATCAGAATAAGTTGAGTCTGTCTTCTGTATCCAGTCACTAATTTTCAGGGAACCTTCAAGAACTGAGTCATTTTTCAATTTTTTGTGAATGCCTGGAATTTCTCTGAAACCTGTTGAAACTGGTCAACTGGTCAGAAATTACTAAAGGGGAATACCAGGCAGATGGATGGATGGCACAGTTGTATTTCCCTGAAAACCAAGCTGTGTCTTCAAATTCTAACTACTGTTGCTGTAGTTATTTCCTCACATGCATAAAACATGTCAGATAGTGACCTTCACAAAGTTCAACTAAGTGACTTGGATAAGACATAGTAAAACAAGTTCTTCAATGTCTAGCAAGAAAATGAATTCTCTCATTCTGAATGATTACTATTGAATGATGCTTCAAGCAGATCTGCAGAATGTAGCTTCTTCCTACTAAATATAGCAGAGTTTTTTTTGCTTAACTAGTTATGTTGGAAAAGGAGCCTTGTCTTTTACCTTTTGCTCACCTACCTCATTCCCTTGAGAGAAATATTAACTCATTTGCCTGCCTGTCAGCTTGTCACACACAAGTTTACATTTGTACTCCTGCACTTACTTGTATCTACAGCCCTTATGCACTAAATGCTTTCATAGAGCTGATTTGTAAAAAAGACCACCTTGTTCTCTCTTCAAGATCAGCAGTTGTCATAAAGCTTATAAGAGATCAGCCAACTACTCATCTGGTTCTCTTGAAGGAACACACAGATCTTTCTTTTTCTGTGAAACAATTCCACGTAGATTTGAGTGT